GATACATCAATGGAGACATAGTACTTGCGAGAGGTGGGATCATAGCAGCGATACCCCTTTTGAGATAAAGGGTAACCAAGAAAAACACAAGGAATAGCCTGAGGATCAAGCTTACCGCGAGTAGGGGACAGGTTATGGACAAAGCAACGACACCCAAAAACACACATCGGAATAGTGGACAACGGGGCTGTAGGGAACAAAAGCTGATTTGGGGCCTTATACTCTAGTAGCCGAGAGGGCATGCGATTGATGATATGTGTAGCACACAAGACTGCATCCATCCAAAACCGTTTTGGCACATTCATATGAATTAATAAGCCACGAGCTACTTCGAGAAGGTGGCGGTTCTTTCGTTCAGCCACACCATTTTGTTGGGGTGTCCTGGCACAAGAGCTTCGCTGAAGTGACCCACTCGAAGCAAAAAACTCCGTGAGATCACTATGGAAGTATTCCTTCGCATTGTCTGACTGGAAGATATGGATTTCCGTTTGGAACTGAGTGAACACCATGCGTTGAAAATCTTTCATAGTTTTTGGCACTTCATCTCGAGATCGCATAGGGTAARCCCAAGTGTATCTAGAATAATTATCAATCAAGGTAATGAAGTACTTATAGCCARCCTCAGTAGGTAGAGTAACAGGGCTCCAAACATCAGAATAAACAATATGAAATGGAAATTCAGATCTTTTATTTCGCAGAGGTAAATAACTTCTACAATGCTTACTCAATTGACAAGTCTGACACTGTAACTGACTCACTGACAADGACTCAAACAACTTTGGAAACATAACCTTTAATGACTCAAAAGAAAGATGACCTAGACGACTATGCCATAAATAGGCTTGACTCTCACTTGACGAACTCATGGACTCTGTAGCCACAAGACCAACATTATTCTCCAACACGTAGAGACCATCCACCATGCTTCCTCTACCAATTGTCTTCCCCGAGGCCAAATCCTGAAACACACTTGAAGACGGAAAAAAAGTGACTGAGCAGTTCAAGGAGTGAGTTAGACTACTAATGGACAGCAAATTAATAGGTAATTTTGGAACATGCAGTACATTAGGAAGGGTAAGGCCAAGTGGGAGAGGTATGGTACCTCGGCCAGCTATGGTAGAAAAAGAACCATCAGCTAGTCTTACCTTATCTTTCCCAGAGAGAAGGTTATATGTCTGAAACAAATTTGACTTACCGGTCATGTGGTTTGAGGCTCTAGAGTCAATAATCCAAGGAGAATCAGTGGTAGGAGATGACACATGGAAGGCTGTGGCAGCATTACCTGATGTAGACGCAAACAGGGTAGAGGGAGTAGGACCAGAATCCATCTGGCGGAGAGTCCTACCATACAATTCCAAATGTTCACGTAAGGAGTTGATAATATCTTCCTTAGGGTCAGAACTGGGATGCCTCTCTTGAGTTACCAAGGACTAGTCTCTGTTGACGCCATATTAGCTGAGTTATACCTTTTTTGATTCTGCTGGCCTGGTTTCTTGCCCTGATCAGGTGTTGACTTCTTACCCAAATCCTGTGCCCATTTAGGTTTTCCATGGAGATCCC